TACGCACTCGTAACTCCTCCGTTGCGGGTGTCCATGGGCGGCGCTGATAACTTACCATCAGGTAATCCGTCTGTTCGTTTGCCGAGCTATTCCATAAAAAATAAATTAAAAAAAAAGATTATAAAATATACATCTAAAAAGGTAGACGTGACGGGTCCTCGCCTCACGTTACAATGTCCCGACAATTTTTCTGTAATTTCCATAGGACCCTAGGCATCCCATTGCTAATATCTCAGTGCAAAACATTCTTTGAATTCAAGCACTTTGTCACTTTTATCCCGCTTAGAAACAAAAGCCGTTTGATCAATTCGGAACGTTACGCAAATGGCATTCGTTCAAAGTAATTCCGTCGTTCTACCTGCTTCAATATTTTATAGATATTTAAGACATTCAAATCATTGAATGAGCCCTTTTTGTGAGTTAAATCCGACTTTTCTCTTTAGATAATTCATACCTTAGAGATTCATACTTGAGAGAGACATGCTTCGGCACGAATGGGTCAGCTCGATTGGAGAGATATCACGGCCTCACAGAAAACCGACGTGACAGAACCACAGCATTGTGTTTCGCTGTGTGAGTGAGGTTACCGGAGGCTCAATCCTTCCCCTCCCCCGATCCCTCCCAATCACTAAATCTCAAAAACCCTAATCCCTAAAAGGTCGGACAAATTATTTGTCACATAGAGGAATTAACTCTATCTTCTATGGTTTGTCACGATTATAATCATCATGACGTTTGTAGTTCAAAGCCACGTGTAAAAGTTAGTCTAAGGTTATTATTATTATTATAGTCTAAGGTTTGAGCAAATTCTAGACTTTAAAGATGTTTTCACCCACATTAAAATGTAACGTCCAACCTCCATCAGTTTAGGTGTGAATATTTTAATGTAATCGGACGCGGACCTGGTACTTGCACTCCAGTATTATTTATAGTGGAATAGGTATACCTAGTAGTACATATATTTATGTGATAATATCTTTTACAGCCGTTTACAATAAATTCAACGGTAAAAAGTAGGTATATGATTCGGTATTTCAAACTCTATCTCCTTATCAATACATAGTACAAAAGAAAGTCGCTTTCTTTGTCCTTATAAAAGTTTTAAGCATATATATCTCTATGTATGCTTAAAACTTTAAAACTACGCAACCGGTTTTGACGCGGTTTTTTTAATAGATGGAGTAATTGAAGAGGAGTGTTTATATGTTTAATAACTAACAATAATTAGTTGCGAAATTGAGTATCAACATTACACACGTGAAAAGCCGAGGCGGGTCGCTAGTACCTAAGTATTTTAAACCTAATCTACATAAAGATATCACTGAGCAAAATTTCGTTCAAATTCATTCAGTAGTTTTTATGTCAAAGAGTAACAAACATCTCAACCGAACCATAATTCCTTGATTCCTCCATATCCTTAATTTAGATATAATGTAGTAGATATGTTTTACATGTTGCTTTTTTCGAAATTGTTTATTTAGTTCAATTCAACAGATACCTACTCTTACTTAAATAGGCCACATAGGTAGTTACTTACTGAAGACGGCCGTAAGTTTTAGGTTACCTATACCTGCATTCCTTTTTTTCAGCTAAGAAAAACGCTTTACACACACCGCCCAGTGAGAAGGTGATGTTATGTAGGGCTTACACTCACTAAAAAACTCAACTTTCGTGCCGTCTTCTGCCTTTTGGGAGAAGCCACGAGGACCAAAACCGACTTTCGTGACCTTTCGGCAGTGGCTGGTCGCCTCCATCTATTGGCGATCCATCTTAGTAAGTAGTAGGTAGCTCGTGCTATGCAGGCAGCAGAGCCCCATTCGGCTTCCCACTGGCTGTAGCCAGGGCGGCATAACGCCTCCGGCCTATACATATATAACTACGTTTATTTCAGATATACTTATAACTAACTACAATTAGTGCACTCTGTTCATGCGTGTAGACAAAGATCTTACAAAACAAAGGAAGTCACACAAAGCCAACTCCGCATATTGCAACCTTGCTGTAATATTATAAGGACTATTATACATATGTTTCACTTACATATATACGTTACATTACGAGTTACTTTAACTATACTGCTTAGGTTAGCTTGATGTGTTCCTAAGAATTGTTTATTACTGTTTATGATTTCGCAATTCTCTGAATCGTTGCATATTCTATAGTCACTACAACTGCACCTTAATGCTTAGTGAAAACTAACGCTTACTAACCCTATGCAACCATGAAATAGGATAAAAGCATTATGTCAAAATATAAATCTCTAATTCAATTCCATTCACCTATACCAAGATGTTTATTAAACACAAAATAATGACATCACTGTACACGAACTTGCTACAGAACACAAAAGCCTGTTCTACATTCATCGCACAAAATACGCCAGAGCGTCATAGTAAATGAAGTTGCAATAATTCACCCCCGGTTACCGGATATGTGCCTTTCGTAGCCCGACTACGGTGTTCCAACTAATCGATCGACATATCACTCGACCAGTTGTGCGACTAAGCAAGGACCTCTCGCCGTTGGGAATTATTAGATAATTTAGATGCTTAACTAATCGTTAATTAGTTGCTGGGCTTTGTCAGTTTGTTTGTAATTTTTATTGCAGAGAAAGTTAGCGATTAATTTGTTTATCGTGTTTATTTTAATATTATAATACATCTTATTATATAGATATCTCCTATTCTACGCCTAATAGAGTTGCGGGTATTTTAGATGACACCGTATGTTATCCGTATGTAAAAATATCTGCAATAGGTAGGTATCTAAAACTGGGTGCTAAACATCTAATTAAATTCAATACATTTTATCAATTTTCGTTAAAGTGAATGACGTCGTCGTACAAAGTATACCTAATTACTCAAGTTTATAGTAAATCCTTTTTGGAAGATACTTAAATAAATAGGTATATTAAGTACTTAGTAAAAGTAAAATCGATGAATAATAGTGTTACTTTTACTAGGTATTTAATTTGTTGAACATAAAAATCTAAACAGATATTTTAAGTATTTTTGAATGATGGCTGACGTATTCTATATGTAATTCCACAGATTAAACATCTAGTTACGATTCCTTTTATGACGTCACTCGGGGGATCATTTCATTCGCAATACATGCATCGCCTGTTTACTTGCGCTAATCTAACTTAGGCCGTTTGCATGTTAGATACCGTCTCGAGTTCATATCACACGTGTCCCCCTAAGCTTGTGTTTGCGTTCAAGATTATTGTATTGAGTTTTGAGATTCGGCGGATATTGTATACGTAATTATTTAATTAATTAAGTTACCTGGATATTTAGCAGACGGATTACCTGTTGTTAAGCAATCAGCGCTGCCCATGGACACCCGCAACAACGGAAGAGTTACGAATACGTTGCCGACCTTTTGAGAATTAGGATTTTCGTAATATTTAAATTTGTTTTGATATCTGTGTAACTTTTGTTCGCGTTTTTGTATAGGTAAAGTACCTACATGTAACTAAAACAAAAAAATATTCAGATTTAACATTTGCGTATGAACGAGCAAAGTTATTACAACTATAGAAAAAATATTATAAAAGGGACACAAGTAAGTATTCATATTAGATTAATGAATTTATTGAACACTTTATGTAATAAGTACAGACAAAGGCGGACCTAATGCCGAAAGTGATTCTCTTTCAGTCAACCGTAAGGGTGATGCAGAGAAGTGTTCTAAAGGAGGCAGATTTATTTGGAATTCAGCAATCATCAAATAAATCTACAGAAATTCTATGATAATCGTAGATCTTGTAATGAAAATTAAGAATCTATACAGTTTATATCCCTAAAACAAAACAAACAAACCTTATTTAACAGTTAAACTCCCGCTGTACTTTACGCAGTTACATAATCATTCATTCAATATTTTTGTGTACTCATGGAAAAATAAACTTACGAGTTACAACCTCCCAACCCCCGCCGCTCCGCTACGCCACTGTTTACTACGCATTCCCTACGCCGTAGCACCGCTACGGCGTAACATTTAAAACTCCGCCCACAAAATGTTAGCGAACATTTTCCCAGATTCCAATTACGACATCATTTATCGTTTTCCTCAATCATAACAAAATAATGTTTTAAAAGTCACGTAACTTGCAATCATACTAAAATACATGGGTACCTACCTAAACCTATTTGGATCATTCTGGTAATATAATCATTTAATTTACTTAAGTAGCCAAATTGCAGAAAACGGAACCTTCATCGATTCATCATGCCCTGTATGTATGTATGTCACATTTTCTGAAACTTTAAGAACTTTACTTTTAAAACTTTGCTACGTAGTTTATGTAGATATTCTGTTAAACTCATTGATTTGTGCACAAAATAGAAAAAAAAAACAAGAATTGGAAAAATACAATACTGAATATAACCCATTTCCAAAAATTGAACTCAGATTTTTTTTTCTGAGACACTCTCAGTTTCCTTGTTTTAAGTGTGAGAGTAATGCTTCGGCGCTAATAGAAAAGGATCGGCCGGAGACCACGGCCTCACATAATCTGGACAGGAAGCCACACTTACGTTGTATTTCGCCGTGTGATAGGTTACCTGAGGCCCAATCCCCATCCTCAAATCCCTTATAACTCACAAAATGCTGGCAACGCACTTGTTGTATTGCGCGTGTCCATGGGCGGCGCTGATTGCTTACCACCAGGTTATCCGTCTCTGCTCGTTTGCAAACCTAAGATATGAAAAAATACCGTGGTATAACAATACTTACGTTGTGTTTTGCCGCATCTGCGATCTAGAAGGATGGAGCTTTAATATCTAATATTATGTAATATAAGCATATAAAACCTGCACGTCCTACAAGAATTTATATGTATAAGTATAGTCAATTAATTGCTTGTCAATCAATTGTCATGCGTAAGTCAGACAAACAATCCGTCAGAATTTGGGCCAAAGGATTACATAAAAATATCTAAAGAAACTAATAGTATTAAATTTCTTTGTGAGTGTTACAACGATAGCTTGAATAAAATGAAATACAAAAGAGCTGCGACTCCCGCCAGCACCGTATCTTCATACTCTTATTGCTCATCGGACACCGAATACTCTTCGATGACACACAGTCATACGTACAACAAAATCAAGTCAGGGCTTCGCAGGTCGAATCCCGCAGCAATAGTTCTGTGGGCCTTCCACAGCCTCCCATCAAAGAACGGCTTGACCTCCAGAAGAGTGATAGGCTTCCTGAAGAAACACTACAGAGCTGTTGACGATCCAAAAAGGACAGGAAAGTCTATTGGAACCATCATGAGGTGCGCTGTTGACTTCGGCCTCTTACAAAAACGAGGAAATAGATATTACCTGGCTAAGAGCTCTTCAAAACGTTAAGTGTATGTGATGTCTGGTGTCCAATTTAGAGGTTTAAAAATAAACCTTTTATGTGACGCATAATTATGTTACACTATGTTACAAAAAAATCGTAAACAAAATCTTGTCGGTGCTGTGATCGCGTGTGTTTAAACAATTCCACGGAATATTTGTGATATCATTTCTTTACCATAACGATTCTATTTAATTGATAACGTTATTTTGCTATTTCGATAATGTTCAATAGCAATAAAACAAATGAAATCAATAATAATAATAATAATATATTTCGCTTCACAAACTTGTATTTACATGATTGATTGCTTACTTAAAATATTAGTTAAGATACCAAACAACAATTCAAAAACCATATACTTAATAGGTGTACTTATACTGATTTTATGCTACATTGGTACAGCGTTTAAAAAAGCTTTGAAAAATAAAAACAAAATCAAAATGTGGTGGAATGCTTACATACGACAAGACCTAAGCAAACAGCCAATCTCAATAATTAATTACAATAAATAGCTGTTTTAAACCGTAATACGAAGTGATAGTTGATAACAGCACATAGTACATATTGAACCGTGATACAACAATACTGTATTTACAACATAGGTAATGAACACTGTAATATCATTTTATAATTCATGCAGTCAAGTTTGGGAAGGCTTGCTTTAAAGGAGGATCCAAACGGACTCTTAAAAATCCTAATGGGATATTGGCTCAAATGTTTGTTTGTTGTGTTCAGATGTTGGTGATAATGGTTACCAATGTTGGGAGTTGACTTGACTGCACGCTACTAACAACTGGCTAGATAAACGAGTGTCTACAATAGTCGGCGCGGCGCCTAGAACAGCAAGTCTTCGTCGCCTTCGTCCAGCAAGTTGGCAGCGTCGGCCAAGTCCTGGCCGGCAAGCAGTGCTGCTTGTTTACGCTGAAAAAAACAATATTAATACAATTTACACAGACAAACAATACTATTAGAGCTACAAACTTTTCCTTTACAAGGGATCCGTCTCGGGTTCGATACATACATACATCTATTGCATGTACATTTTATTGGGATTTAAGAATCTGTAAAACTTTAAATAACGGATTTCCTATATTACTTGGGGCATACAACTTTAAAAATTAGTGTCACATTTAATACGTTTAGCTCTGAACTTAGGAAAATCTTATTTAATCGGCCTATGTCTATTACCGCTTCCGCTTTCTCCTTGATGATCTTCTTCTTGTCTTGGATCTTCTTCAGCCGGTAGAACTCCTCACGCTCCAATTCATCCAGCTCAGAGATGATGTAAGCGAGAGTACGCTCCAATCGGGGAATGATTACTGTAATATTGCAATAATAGTTACTATTTCAACTTAAAAAACACGGCTATATCCCAATCACGACAGCTAGGCACTCAAGCCACAACCACTAGGAAAAAAATGTCTGTCAACAAAATACTTTTACTTTGTACGTGTAATTTAGTTGATAGACCAATTAAAGAAGATGATAAAATATAATATGGTACAGTTGATTGGTTTCCAACTCAATCTAGTGTTAGTAATTGAATCGTGTTAAGAGCAAAACATTATTGTATCTAAACAAAACGAAACAATTATTGGACATGAATCCCACATGTTTCCTGAACTAAATAAAATTAATACATAATATAAATAAAATAATACACAACACGATAATCAATACCCGCATATTATATTTTTCTAATATGAATTCCCCGTGTGAGTGAGGTTACCGGAGGCCCAATCCTTCCCCTCCCCCAATCCGTAAATCTCCAAATCCCCAATCCCTAAAAGATCGGCAACGCACTCGTTACTCCTCCGTTGCGAGTGTCCATGGGCGGCGCTGATTGCTTACCATCAGGTAATCCATATGCTCGTTTGCCGACCTATTTATTACATAAAAAAAAAATGAAACGCGAAAGTTTAAAAGTTAAAATTAAACAGTTAATGATTTGAAACAAAAAATCCTGGTAGTAATAGATTATTAGCCTCACAATCATATATGGTCTCGCACCATACAACAATTAAACTCTGGTATAAGAACAAGAACTGAAATGCCTTTATTATATTCCTTACGTTTTTTCTATTGTTTGAATACAATACATATGGAATTTGCATTATAGAATTCAAGGTAATTATTGTATTATAGAGAAAATTGTAACAGTTATCCATTTTCAACCTTATCAATTATGAAATAAAAACTTTTCATATGATAATAACTTATCAGATATTTACAGTCATAAACCCATTTCTTTTTATCAGCTTATTTATGAAAACATTGACAAACGTCCATCATACACTACAAATCTCAACAATCATCCATTGCTAATTATCCCAACTCTAAGGGTCAGTTCACATCAATCGAAAAATTTGTTTCGTATTATCAGTCGCGTATCGCCAGAACAAACAACTACATAATAAAACATTGACCTTATTAGATCACATACACCTAAGTTATGATAAGTTTTTTTTTGAGCCCAAGGTATTATGGCATGAGTGAATAAAAGACTCTTACTGACTAGAAAGCCCTGTTCCTTCTCCTGTTCTAGGCCGAGGCAGCGGTAGCTTATTGCGCTTGACCCGCAACCCCAGCTAAACTAATAATAATGTGTTGACCATACATTTTTGATACACTACAAGCATTTTCCTACAGGTGAGAACCAACCCTTACACTTTCTGCTAAATGCTAGAACGAAATATAATACCAAACAGTCCTCATCCTTTATGAGCAATCTGTGTGGCAAGTTTCATCCAAATCTGTTCAGCTATTTAAGAGAAAATAGTAACAAACAACAACCTACTTACATGAATAGTTATTAATATGGGTAGTAGGATAACAATTTTGTAAAAGAGTATCATTTTGTGCAATGGATGGGTGTTGCATTATATTGATATTGAGTGGAATGTGAATGTAGGATTATTATTGAGAACCTGACAACGAAATATTAATTGATGGCAACATTTTGTATAACAACAACATGTTGCAATGAATTCAGAACCTCCTATTTTTGTAAAGAAGAATCATACTTAAAAATGTAAGAATCTTGGACTCACCGTGCTCAATAGCATTGACACGTCTGTTAGTGATCTTGATGACCTCATCCAAGGTAACAAAAGAAGTCTGCAGAGAGGCCAACTCAACCAGCAGTTTAACAGCACTCTGGAAGTTCTTCTTCAGCTTGGTCAGCTGTTGACCACCTCTGGCCAAACCAGCCAGTTCATATGTGTCCGTACCATCAGTGTATGACTCAAAGATTGGGAGGGTCACACCTGGAAATATGGATGAGGTGTTAGTTTACATGGAGATTTTTTTAACAATTTTTACCATTGATATATTTCATAACTGTGGGATATACTCTAAGAGAAACAAGAAACAAAACATTTATGTTAATACTGAAAACAATAAATGGAATACATAATCAAGTAACTAAAAATCATCTGAACTTTTCACATAGTCTTGTAATCTATGTAGTTTCATGGCAACTAAAGACATGAAAATAAATGAAACTGATTCCAATAAGAATTAAAATAATTCATAATAATGCAAAACAAAATAATTAATGATTAATTTGCAATCCCAAATATTCCATTATATTATGAAGGAAATATGTAGCTGTATGCTATAGTAAAGAGTACAAGCATTTGGTGGAAACATGGACAAGAAAGTTCATTTTTATTTAGGTCAAGTGTCTAAGGAGTTTACATATTGATCCTCCATTGGCTCAATTCCAAAGTGAAAAAGTATTATTGTGCTACCAACCTGCAACATTGTCTTTCTTTGAACGGATCTTGATTTGAGCCTTAGTAACATTTTGCAGGACAACCTGGTTGAAATCTCCAGTTGTGAATTTAGCCTCAGCCAGAGAGAATGCAGCCTCTTTCATCACATCACCCATAAGAGTTTTTGTCTGAAAACCAGATAGAACACAAATTAAACAATTATTTGTAGGTACATGTATACATGATAAGCCTCCTTCTTATTGGAATCTTACAATATCAGTACAGAGATATCATATTCAGATTTTTATAAAAATCATGTGAGCCCAGAAATGAAATGTATTTTAAAACAATTGTCATTTTATTTTCATTACAATAATGGAGACCTAGCCCTAATAATACAGAGACAATTGTAACACTCTAACGTCTAAGTAACAGAAGAGGAAATATCGATACTCACCTCGATAATTTTGCTCAGAATCATACGGAACCTCACTTGGAGGGCGTCAGCCTTCTTCTTCAAGAGACCATGGCCTTTCTGCGCTCCAGCCAGACGACCTTTTATCAACATCTGAGCACTAAAACCAGGATAAATTAAATTGTAATTCAACCACTAATAAAACGCAAATGTTTTACACATTTGTAAATTAAGCACACAAAATTACTTTTCACAAAACTTACCCCCGAGAAGGGAAAATAGCTAGCCTATCTTTTCCAGACATATTGATTTAGGAAAATATTTGGCGTTTTATCCCTTTTTTAGGATTTTTACTCCCAAACCTAGATCACCTGATGACAGAAGACAAGTGATAAAATATTGTCTATGAATGGTCTTGTGATCTCGCTCAATGGTAATGATAAAATTTTAGTAACAATTTATAGAAATAGTATTGAAATATTTTTAGGTAAATATGTCTATAAAATGTAATTAAACCATATAAATATTAGCCCCGTTTTACACGCCACGATCGCCATCAAAAAGCGAAACTAAGTAGTTTTGCATTTTATTTTCGATAGTGTTAGTTTCTTTCACTCTCATGAAACGGCAATCAGATTGGTGATTTGGCATTGACAGCAATGACAGCTATCATTCACTTCACTAAATGTCATCGTCTAGGTCTGCTTGTCATCATATTGTTTTAAAAGGCAAAGCGGCTCTGTTATAATTAATATAACTAAATAAACACAAACAAATAATATGTGATATGTACGGTAAAAATGACCGTTCTCAGAATTATACAAATAAATATCAGAGCTCATTTGTTGACCAGTGCGGAATTCTTGTTTGAATCTCATTACAATGGTCGATTTAAGTTCAACAAGTTTATGTAGAATATGTCTACAAGACGGAGCTACACTCCCAATATTTGAAAAATTGGAAAATGGAGAAAACGTACTCTTAAAATTGTCTTTATGTATACAACATGGAAAAGTTAGTATAAAACTAATATTGTTATGATAAACCTCAAAACAATGTTATTACTTAACTAAATAAATGATTTTCAGATAGAAGATGTCGAAGGATTACCACGTCATATATGTAATATGTGCAATAATACATTAGATACTTTGTGTGATTTTATAAATAAGTTTAAAGAGTCTTGTAAAATATTAGAAAATGGTTTACTTATTGTTATGAAGGAAGATTTAATTTGTCCTAAACATGACCATTTGACTGAAGTAGAAATAGATGTGAAGAATATTAAGGCTGAGTCTGAAGACCACTATGATGATGGTTTTGATGATTATGAGGATTTACTTCCATTAAAATTACCATCAACAGTAAAAAAGGAACCAATTAAGAAGAAACTTATAAAGAAAGAACCAAAGTCTCGGAAAGTAAAAACTGAAATTGGTACAAACAAGATTGCTTCTTCTATATTAGAAGGCAACTTTTTATGGAATGGAGAAAAATGGTGGTAATACTTTGAAATTAATGATATTATTTCTATGTTTAGTTAATCAACTTGAGTATTGAAGATGAGGATATGCTATTATTTTTGTTTAACACTTTTTGCACTAAAATAAATTAACTGGTTTATTTAATGCCTTAAGCATTCATGCATTCAAAGCTTTATGAATTTTATAACTTTTCAAATGAATTAGATAATTGTTAATTTGTAATTTATTTCATTGTAGTATTAAATCAGGGTCTCCAAAATTCAGCAAAAACACAACCAGGGTATCAAAAGAACCAAAACCAAGACCACAGACAAAAATCAAATTACCCAATATAAAGAAACCTACCACAGATAAGTTATGTGATGTTTGTGGAGATGTGTTTAAGAATGGTGACAAACTCTCTAATCATAAGAAAACTGTACATTTTAAAAATCCCATAAAATGCCCTAGTTGTCCAAAAATTTGTACCTCCGACTATTATTTACATAAACATATGAAAAGAAAGCATGAGAAAAATAGAGAATTTATATGTGCTGCATGTGGCCAAGGTTTTGCATTTAGAGGAGACTTGACAAGTCACAACAGAAGTGTACATGATAAAGTAAGACCTAAAAAGGTGTATTCATGCAAATTCTGTGATAAAACCTACAAATGTGCAAAGTCTACAATTATTCATGAGAGATCTGTTCACACAGGTAAGCAAGCCAATCTTCCTTTTTGACTGAAACAACTTGCTTTGCTAGAAAAAGTATGTATTACCTTGAAAGGATAAGCAGAGGTACTGAATTTAAAATGGATTTAGAATAAGGCAAAGGGAGGGCAAACATTATGGTTTCCTATCTATTTGCATAAAATCTTAAGGGCTTATATAATTTAGCATAATGTGATTTAGTAAAAAAATATATAAAAATATATCGCATAATGTAATTATGCATAATAGCTCATGCATACTTTTTTAGCATAATGTCTCTAACCACAGTAATAAGTAGGCATAATATTCTAAAGCATAAAAGCATAAATTACGCTTAAAATTATTAAAACATATTTTTATTTATGAAAAAATTATTGACACCTAGAATATTAGGCACATTTTTACAATATTGCACTAATGAAATTGGTAGGCGCTTGATATTGTAGATAGAACAGAAATAATTTGGCATAATGCGTGCTGCAAGCAAGCATGCAACACGCAGCAGGCAGGTTTTTTGTGACAGCGTTACGGGCCTCCGGCGGCCCCACGCGTGCTAGTTATCGCAGACGGCTTTCGCTCACCACCATAACTTCGGTCGTTTCACCCCTACGCGCCTTAGCGTTTTTTTATAATACTAGGGGTAGGACAAACAAGACTGTGTGGAGTCAGTTTTGCAGCAATTCGGTTCTGACACTAACTTTTGTTGGAGAGGATATTAATTTTTTAACCAACAATATTATTTACTATCGTTATGCTAATAGCCTTTAGGCCTACTAACGTTATGAGAATCAAATTTAGTCAAAATAAATTGGTCTTTAACATGATTATTCCTAAAAAAATATGCCGAAGTATTATTATGCCAAAACAAATTGGTCCCGAAAATTATGCTATACATTCAATATAAATCCAATTTCCAAGGTGTAGAATAAACCATAATAGAAAAACCTCTATAGTACTATCTAAGAAAGAATAAAAATCAACAAGTAAGCAAATGTATTTAATCTTTTATTATACTTAACAGTATTCTCACCTATTTGGTGAAATAGCTTAAATAATCTAAGGTACAAAATAGAGCCTTATATATTCATCATTTGCTAAATGAGTTGTTATGTGAACTACTCCATACTCATGCAATGAGAAAAATGAGCCCCTAGTGTGGTTTAAAAATAGTAAATAGTTGAATCTTTTAACACCTAAAAATATAAATAATAATATTATAAATAAATAACTTAGAACCATTATTAAATTCAATTTTTCTATCAAATATTATTAGTAGTTCACTTGTTTACAGGGCAAAGACCAGCTGAGTGTTCTGTCTGCAATACTAGTTTTTACCATGAAGATTATTTGAAAGAACACATGAGGTTGCATACAGGTGAGACTCCATTCAAATGTCCAATATGTGGGCGAGGATATGCCCAGAGAGGAAATATGAAAAGCCATCTTCGAATCCACAAGATATCAGAACTGGATGCCAACACCCTGAGCAAATTGAAACCAAATTATTTGAAATTGCTAAAAGTATGAAACTTTTAATTCTAATTGATCTAATAGTATTTTAAAAACTGTTATCATATTGTTTTGTTAGGATTTGACAGTTTTTGAGAGTAAAAGTTTGACCACAGCACTTCTCTGTGCCCACACGGCAATAATCTACGAAACCGCACTACTCTTTACTTCAAACAAGCGCTTTTGAAGGGGTCACATGTCGATTTCACTACAAGTGTCAAATTTTGTTTCTCCTTTTAATATTTTATGTTTTGGTATTTTGTGACATGTGACTCAGGTTGGCTGGACAAATCTTCGTTTAGGTTTTTTCAATATACTTCCGTTACCGAGATTAAGGTACCAGCGAAAAGTGTTATTTCAAGATGGCTGGACACGTTTTCACTGTAGCGTCACATATTCTGAAATAAGGGTGTTTAGCCGTCACATAAAGTGACCTATTGACCTAGTTAAATGCAAGCTATTTTGAAGATTTGTCCAGCCGACCTGAGTCATGTGACAACTTTGTTGGCCGCGCCTGTACAACTGTTTAACGACTTCCTTTATGCGGTACCAGTGTTGTGGAATCACGCAACAGTTTTTTTATTACTTAGTCTTCTATACAAGTTAATTATTGAAAAGTTATGTGATTATATCATAGTCTATCAGTTAGGAGTATTATAGTTTGATATGAAACTGGACCAAGAGGACCATATCATTGTTTTGTTTTTCAAGTTAAAATATGTATAGTTACTATTACCTTTCATTGCACAATTTACAGTGTAGAAACACCAACTATATGAGTATGTATTTCTTTGATTGATTTTCGAGCTTATCGTAGTATTTTTAAAGTCGAAAATCAATCTTGACATAGTTAAGTTACAGTTAAGAAGAAGTCTATTTGTTTTGTTGTCTATTTCTGGTAAGAAAATTATAACGATTTTAATTCTATTCCATAGTCTCGCATAAGAATTTACAAGAACTTTTGTTTACGTTTTTAGTAGGGAAATAATTATTTAACATGTATGAAAACTATGTTGGTGCTAAGTATGTGTTTTGTCATAAAACAAAGAGTTAATCATGTGATATAATTTCATAATAGTTGCATGGCACTTTATTTCATTCTTTACTTGAATGATAAGATAAATTTCTAACCTCCATACTCAGAAACATTCAATGATTATTTGAACTATTCCTTAGTAACAATTTTGTTCAAAAACAATTTCTGAGGAATAGATTAAAGTAACCATTAAATTATATGATCACGTGTGTATGACGGTTGTTTATTAATGTTAATTTAGTTATGATGTAATAAAGTTTTATTTCTACTCTATTATACTTAATAAGTAAAAAAGGTTGTTTTCTGTTAATAGTGATATGGGTAAAAGAGTATTTGTTTTGATTTTCTTGAAATTATAATTTTATATTATAATACTTAAGTGTTTTACTACAACAATGACATTTATACTTCATTCAAAGAGCATTGTGATAACGGAATGTGCCACTTCTCGTCCTTTCTGTAAGCCTGAAATAAAACAAGGAGAGATTTAAAAAAAAACCTTTTTGTTATAACTGCGACCCACCACCGGTGCAATGCGATAACTAAAGGACATGGCCAAAAAAGTACATTCCACGTACACGAACAAAATTAATACACTGTAAAATACAAATAGAAATATGAATTATTACGTAGTTTTTAGCCTCTCCAGACCTGACAATTATTATTAAAATAATGTAAAAGTAATGCAACAAAATCAAGTTCGTTTGTCAAGTTTCGCCATAATAGTCCATAGAGAAAGATAGATAAAAAGACGTTCCAATTCCAAACCACGTGTCTTAAACTACACTCGTAGAAAACGTGTGATATGATCGACAAATGCATTACACTAGGAACATTTTATTCATACGAAACTGTATTCATTGGTTTTAGTTGCATTTTAAAATATACTCATATTATAATGATGATGATGATTTATTTTTATCCAATTCACCAAAAAAAAACTTAAACGAAACGGAACGTGTTTGACACTTTTGACAGCGTGTTTTTGTTAACCTTGCTAATAATACTGGAGTAACTGTTTTGCGTTTTGGATTTGTTTTGTGGATTACGATAAGGTGCATCAACTGCGGAATAGGCGTACAAAGGCTGCAGAGGCGTCTTATATCCTCGCTTTCTGCACACCATCAAACAAAACTTTCACGTTGGTTAACCATCTCAAACCCAGGTATGAAGTCGGAATATATAATACTTAGTCTGTTTTTTTATGTTTTATCATGGTATGCGATTTTAAATAGTGCATCTTTTTTTTTAGTTGCCTCTGGGGACATTCATTTGTCAACCACGCTTCTTATTATTGAATACTGAGGCTGGTGAACATGAGAACTACTGGGGCATAACATGGCTTGCCTTGGTTGTGGAAAATCGGTTCGAAAAATAAGACACCATAATGTCAGTATGGACTCTCTATTGCTAGCTGGCCTAATATCGCAAAATACTATTAATGTGGTAAGCATTTTGTTTTTTATTCATTGTTTTATATATGTACTTGTATTAATCTATATTAATCTATAAAAAAAAAGTACTCATAGTAGGTATGTGTGATTATAATATCTATCTTTATGTATTTTCCATGTTTGCATAGACTTAGGCATGTGGTAACATAATACTTCTCACTGTACAATAACATAAAACTTGAAAACATGTGTTTATTCTAACTGGGGTTTATTTTCAGACCTCAAGAAGCAACTATGTTTGTCATTTGTGCTGTATGCGGGCAAATAGACAGACAGTGCAGGACTTATCACGAAACTTGCAGGAATTGGGTTCGGACAACAATGCAGTAGCCCCTTATATTCAAGTGGTTAGCCCACCAGAGCCACCACCATTACCACCTGTTTTAAGCAGGCCGCTTCAAATGGAAAGTACTACCATATTATTACCCAATTATACAGAACATATATTAAAGAAACGTACATTCCATACACAAACATAATAAAATACACTTTATAATAAAAATATAAAAGTGAATTATTACGTAGTTTTATTTTATTTATTCTCCTTAATAAATAAATCATTATTCTTTTATTTTATACATATTATTTTGTTTTATTTTATAAATAAATAATTAAAACGCCGTGGTTTTTAAAAGCAAAATCTTATTTCGTGCACTTATGGCCAGTAATCTGACTAAAGGTTTAGTGAAACTATTTTCGTCTTGTTTGTTATAATTACGAGTTCTTCATGTGTTTTATTTTTTGCAATTTAATTTAACAATATTCACGAATGTAAACACCAAAAATCATTGATGTACATTGAATTCAATAACTATGCAAACGCCCATACAAAAGTTGGCCATGTCCTTTCTTCACTCTTTCATGAATATTACTATACAAACATATAAACATGCCTCCTCAATCACTATAAATTAGCACTAGTTTAATCCAAACTAATATTATAAATGCGAAAGTAACTCTATCTGTCTGTATGTCTCTTCTTCACGCCTAAACTACTGAAACTATATGTGTGAAATTTGGTAAAGACATACTTGGAACTCGAGAAAGGACATACAATCGTTTTTAAACCAAAAATCTGCAGGAACTCACTATGCCACGCGAACAAAGTGGCGGGCAAAAGCTAGTATTAGATAAAATGAATTCCTCTTTTATAATATTGATAAGTACACCACAAACATGTATTACTCAATGCTACACAGACATTATAAAAAAATGTGGCTGATAGCTAACTTACTCTTTCAATGCTGTGGATATCTCTTGAAAACATTTTAGTTTTTCCTCCTCAATACTTGTCAAATAATTGATTTTGTTCATTTCAATTTCTTTCAGTCTTAACTCTTCTCCTTTCAGTTTCAATTCAAGCGCCCGCAGTCTTAACTCCTCACTCTTCTGTTGTACTCTCTCCTTTTCTATTTTTAGTGTTGTTCTCACTTTATATTCTTCTAAAGACATCTTTCTCTTTTTGGTCTTTTTGCCTGCAAACAACAAAGTACGAATTTTATTTATTACAAGCTACTATCGCGCGGCTACCCGCTGCTCAGCTCCTACAGATCTTAGCGTGATAATCGTAGCCCTCTTCGATAAATGGACCAACAAACAAACGAATTTTTCAATTTGAACCAGTAGTTCCGGAGATTAGCGCGTTCAAACAAACAAACTCTTTAGACTCAGAGGCGGCGTAAGGCGTGGGCGACGTGGGCCACCGCCTACGGCCTCGCGGTACAAGGGGCCTCGCGCCTCGAAATTTTTTCAAGCTAAAAAATATATAAAAAAAAATTGGAAAACAGTTTACCTAAAGGCCATCCGTGCAACTTCCCGCTAAGCGTTTAAATTTTATCTAATGCGTCAAAAAGGGAGAGAACTGTTGTGAAACATGTTTTCTTAGGCTAGAAACATTTGCCGCCGACCGACCAGAGTTCCAATGCCTTAATAAATAAATAAAAAACGTGCGGGGAATCCCTGGTTTTATTTTGTTTACTTTCTTTACTAGGAAGACAACCAATCAAATCAAAGTACGCAAGGCGCATAACAATAGAAATGTACATTACGCGATCTTACTTGACCGGCTTGAAGTTAGCTATTTCTAACGGTCGCGCATGTACAGTCACTAAGAAATATTAATTTCTTTTTTATTAATGTTAGTAAAGAAAACTGTTATTAATCAAAATATTTCTCTCTCAAACAGTTATTAGTCTTAGTATTTTTTTAATCTTAATTCATACATTTCTAGTTACTGAAAAATAACTGTCACGTAAGGTTTATTATCAGTAGTTTAAGGAAAACAATCGTTTTCGTTACTGCCATAATTTAAAAGCCGTCTTTTTTTTTATTAAATCCTTACTAATATTATAAATCGGAAAGTGAGTAAGCGCTAATTGCTTTAAAATTTTGAAATCCAGATTAAACAATAGGGAATATTTATCCCGAAAAAAAAATGTTCCCGAGGGTAAACAAAAATACCGGATAAAACCAAATTCCACACGGGCGAAGCTGCGGGCGGAAAGCAAGTGAGTAAAAAATAAAAGTATGCGCCTTTAACGCCCAAGGTCCGGAGTGAGATTCCAAGTCGAATTAATTTAGGAAAATAACTATTCATTTTTGTATTGGCTAAACGATAAATAAAATACTAACTTTTTCAACCGACTGTACCGACGAGAGAGATAGTGACGCGAACAACAAGCAAGTGCTGACGAGAAAAAAATCGATATGATTGATCTAATTTAATAAATTACCAATTATGTTTACCTTAAAAACTCGGAATTTTATGATTTGTATGAAAGAATTTTGACAATTGCGTAGTGTTAGTGTTTATTTTATTTCGTGATAAATGATATTTTATTAAACATTTTTAAAAAACCAAAGTAACAAACCAGATGATGAACCTATATGTAAACATCAATCATCTTTTCGGTATTCGCTATTTGAGTACCAAATAGCGAATACCGGAAGCATTTCTCAGAACACACAGACCCAAACCCAAGTCTATTTGAAAAGTTCATTCATTCATAAATTGAAAGTTGTTGATTTTCTGCAACAATGACCTTTTTGACCTACTTGTTTCGTATATATGTACATTTTATATTAATGCGTTCTGACGAAACAAATGAACAAACCAAAAGTGAAGAAATTTAAAATAAGATCTGTTAATCATAATCGATAAAATAACTTAAAAGAAATTTACTCAAATATTTACATTGTCATCCGAATTTTATTAACAATTCCGGTAAGTACAGCCTCTGCTGAAAGAAGTTTTTCTAAATTAAAATTAATAAAAAAATATTTGAGAAACACAATGAGCAAAGAAAGACTTTCAGCTTTGGCTGTTTTATCAATTGAATCAGACTTGGCATCTAGGCTGAATTACGATACCATTATTAAGGAATTTAGTACCTAAAGTTAAAAGCAGGAAATTTCTGTTCCTTTAATAAAGAAGACTAATGATTTTTAAGTATACGCTAAGAAATGTATATCTCCACCTTCATATTTAGGATTTGTAATTTTTCATTAATACTTATTAACCTAATTTGTATTTTTCTGACTAAAAACTTGGCAGTGTTAATTGTTTTGTTTGTTTTTATTATTTTATAAAATCCGTCTTTGGGTTGCCATAGAACAGGGCCTCGCGAAATCTGTCTTGCCCACATCAAATTTAGGTCTTGCCCCGCCGCTGTTTAGACTTATAATAATAATACGAATACTATAAAGATGAACAGTTTGTTTAGCTTTATAATAGATTTATGTTTTCCTTTAAATTCATCTGGAACATAGAAGCTATTCAGAAATGGTAAAACTGACTATACTATAGTATAGCAAATTCTGGGATCCCCAAAAGGCCAACAGGTTTAAAAATAATTATATATAATAATGCATAATTTTTGACAAAGCCCCCCAAACAAAATCTAGTTAAAAAAAATAAAAGGTTGACAACGGGATATCTAGGGTGGTAGTACCTCCTCCCTTGCATATCTTATCATGAATTATGATTTATGGTTACCTTGGTATTTATGTTTTTCCTCAAAATCTGATGAATCTTCACCTAGATCTTCTTCTTCTAATTTGTCACCTGTAAAAAAGTTTTCTCTTTGATATTTTCATTACAAAGAAAGAAATATGTAAGTATAGAAAATAAAATTTAAGTTTTTGTAACCAAGGGATGGATTGATAATGTATGTGCATGTATTACAAGCACATGGATAATTTGATTATTTTAAATTTTAATTCAGACTTTACAGTACAGAATTAGAGCTCTATTCTATCCAGGCAAACTAAGCAGCGCAATGTGCGCCAATGAATGCAGGTCTCGTAAAAATAATGGATGGACTGCCTATTTACTTAAGGCACTTACTAGGTTTTAGCTACCTCTGATTGGGCCATATTTCTTTATATGTTTTTTATTCCAGACTAGTTTCTTTATTGGTAATATTCAGGCCAAAAAAATTGGTATATCTCATACATTGATTTAATTACCTTCTAAAATATCACCAACATCACAGAATTTACTTTCTACTCTACTAAAGCAGTCTAATGTTTTTTCATCATCTACTTCATCCTCAGAATTAGATTTACCCTTGTGTGAGTGCATATCAGTATCTTCACCGCCATATTTGTGTTTTAAAAACTCTGTTTGAAATTCTTCTGTTGGTTCTGATCCTTCTTCTTTGCTTACAACCTGCAAAATACCATCTGTAAGCTTCATTTTGTAATATAGATCTAACATTTTTTTATAACATTAGGTGATAGTAGCTGTCGGCAGTCCACTTCTACACAGTACTCTTGCTGGTCTACATAAATTAATTTATTTCTTTTTTAACCTGATAAATTCCTTTATAGTATTGTAACTAATTTTATGTATTATACTACGTATGTTTTTCCATTTAGAACATATGTTTCAAGCTATCAAAGAAAGAGGTAAAATAATTATTATTTTATTACCTACCATTTCTAAAGTTATAGCATCATTCTTATCCTCAATAGGAAAGTTGATCATCTTCAAGAGTCTAAGCTCTAAATTAGTTAAAGTAGGTGTTGGTTGTTCAGTGCGGTAGTTTTTTCTATTCAGCAATATATTTGCCTTCTTTTTTGTTTTGTTCTTCCAGTCTGCCCACATCTGAAAAGTTTTAAACATTATGTTATTTATTTATGAAATGGAAACAGTTGATCATTTGTTTAATTAAGTAGTTTTTTAGTTTTTATATGTAGGTATGTTTGAGAAGTGTAATCTTGCAACTAAATTATTTTTTAAATGGGCTGGTGTTTTACCTCTATCTCGCCTGGTGGTAAGTGCTAGTAGATATCTAATAGAAGCTTGTTTTATTTATTTCAATATTTAATTTAAATTTATTTCAAATCATAGCAAATAATTGAAGTCAGCAGATGTGAAAAAGTTGGAATATTTGATCTAATGTACACACAGCACTAACTTAAAATAAAGTAGCATTTATAAATTTCTTCATAACTAAAAAGTATTATTGTATAGGTCTTACTTTAGCCCATTTCCAGGTGTTTTTATAAACACCTCCTTCCACCGCATTCAGCTGTACAGCGATACGCTTCCAAAAGTTTTGTTTATTTGTTTTAGTGTACATCACTCTACCAGCGACTAACACACCATTCTCACTCAAGAGGTCCAGCAATTTCTTCATTTGAGCTTGACTTACACGACTCATAATGAAACCTAACGAACACTTAATTAAATAAAGTACTTATGTACTCATCGAGTTAAGTCCTACAAAATCTATCCTAGATAATCTAATGCAATCAATGGAATCAATTCATACATAATCAACAAATGTATTCTTGTTGTTGCTTCTTTTAAATGTTCCGCATCCGCAAAACAACAAGATTGTGTTGCATTAGAGAATGGGAAAGGTATATAACTTTGTCGCGCTGTTGATAAGGACAGCATTTCAGAAGGCTGAAAATCCTAATTCCTCCATGCTTTAAATTAATATTTACTGCGTTTGGAACGCCACTGTCAAATTGACATTAAAATTGCATTATCTAATAAACTTTAGTCGATTAATTGTTGTCTTTCCAAAATGGGAGTTTAATATAAAGTATAATATATGAAATGTGTTTATTTTCAGCAAGTCTATTTTATTTTGCTTAGGAGCTGAATTCAAGATTAATAATCCTTAGTGTTTAGTGAACAAAATAGGAAATGGAGAACGTCGTCGGTTCCGCCTCAGCCATGGCCTTCGTGTTCAATTGAAACACTAAAACATTGTTGTTACATCACTATTCAAGGAATTTTCATTGACTTGACAGTTGACACTTGACATTGACAAACAGTTTTATAATTTTACAGCTGTGTTCGTAAATAAATGTGACGAAAATCGCGATCTCTTTGTTTTTTTCGACACAAGCAGTAAATATATCTTTGTTAGAAGTTGATCAAATTGTGAACACAATGCTGCGAGTTAAGATTCATATAGCAATAAGCGCTATAGGAGCCGTTTTAGGCTTGTCTGCATTTATATGTTTTTGCCTTGTTTATGCAAACATTGAAGCCGGAATGTGGGCGCTATTATCTGGTAAGTGTAGCGAAATTCAATTTCGCATGTACACAAAAGCATTCGTAGTTTGGAAACAAAAAAACTAACATTCAGAGCAAATTGCGGGTATTAATGTTATTGGTCTCTTATCGCCTGCAAGTCTTTACAATAATAAAGGGAAAACTTGATGACCTCGGACTTTTCCTTTGCTTGCTCATATTACTTGTGAATCCAGCGTTATAACTTAAGGAAATAATAAAAGAAATCTTTAACAAGATTATTTTATCATTTTCCTCTAAATTATGTTTTTGTTTTCCCTGTTTAACCACACGGTATCCCATATTATGAAGTTAATAAAGAATAAACTAAAAATATACTTACAATTTAGCCAAACTTCCCTTCCAATTTCCTAATGTTAATAAAAAACGTATTGTCTATGATATTACAGGTACACATGCATCATTGGCACTGATGCTGCATTGCCACTACCTAAAGGAGTCCCTTCATGTAAACTTTTCCAGAAAAGCATTACAATACATTGGAGACTTTGGCATTGTTGGTTTCGTCTCTGGATTAGCTCTGACATTTTTCTACCTATTCTTGGAAATCTATTATAAAGCCGGTAAGTTAAATTAAAAAAAAAAATTCTATTTACCCACTTCTATTAATATAATGCAACAGGAAATGAATAATTAATGAAATTAATAGAAATCTTATCAATAGAAACCAAGCATTTGTTTTTCAATTCCAATAATTTATAAAGTTAATTACCTACCATTGAAATAATGTAACTGTTGTGAAATATTTTTGTAGATAAAGTGAACATTTCCAGCTCATTCCCTTATCATTGTTTTTTTACTTCTTCATGTTTTGGTTTTGAGTGTGAACATTACAAATAGTATGTTGAATGTATTCTCAACTAACTTGTAAATCTGTCTTTTGTTTTTTTAAATTTTATGAAACTTTATAGAATCTAATTAAGTAAATAACTTCTTCTATATTCCCATGTCCTTGATTCTCAGTGCTGCTATGGATTTTCCTTTACAGGGTATATTACAAATAGTTTTTGGCATTAATTACCAGGAATTTGCTTTGTTGTAAATTAATTAATTGAGTTATAGTTACACTTACATAAAATTACTGGACAAACAAAGTGATAAAATTATTTGCAAATAATCATAGTTTGTTAACTAGTTGATATGGTTACAATGACACATAACACTGATTAAGTACACTGGCACTAATGACTAATTATAGATTTATTGCGTCGCAAAATTAGGTATCGGCATACTCAAAAAAGCAATATAAATTAATTAAAAAAAGTAAATATCTACTTTATTCGATTATTTTTGTTCCATGGTTGTTTACTTAATTTTGTGCTGCGTAAATATTACCGATTATGTACTGAAACTTTTCATTATTGTTTTTGCTGACATGACATTAACAATTTTGAATGTCAGTTATTTAATGTCGCCGAGCCTGACCAAATGGCCCCGAGTGCCCCGACCCCCTAGTCGCGCCGCCCTGAGACCTAACTTAAATATCAGCTCTATTATATTGCTTAGGTCATTACTAGGGTAAAATAAACAATATAATAATAAGGAAAATACAAGGGTAGAGTTCTGACTTTGTACAAATAAAATGTATTTATTAGGCGACTACAGCGAGGTACCTACATAGCTTGAAAAGATTAAAAAGTCTAAAGAATCCCGAACCACGATTATACGAAACTGTCTTCTATAAAAACAACGTTTCCCAACCTTGGGATTTGATGATTCGCCGTGTGAGTGGGGTTGCCCAATCCTTTTCCTCCCCCAATCCCTAAATCGATGGGATTTTGAATCCTCAAATGGTCATCAACGCACTCGTAACTCCTCTATTGCGGGTGTCCATGGGCGGCGATGATTGCTTACCATCAGGTAATCCGTCTATTTTATTATCCGTCAGTTGGCCGACCTATTGCATAAAAAGAAATTAGACCTGGAACAATTTCACACAACGTGTTGTTTCAAGCGATATTCCAAGTCCTGACACGTTGCATAGCAGCTCCTGCGCCAACCAAACAGGACACAAAATGATGATGACTATAGGAGATAAATAATAATTTTATCCTAACCTTTCATTATCTATAATGACGAAATATTTGTTTTAGATGTGCTTCCAATCAAGTCAAGTATCATGATCCGTCTCGTCTGGTCATTCATGATGATGAAATGGGGTCTGATGCTGTATCTGGTCACCAAGAAATACCTGAGGACCTATAACGACCACCAGCTTTTCTCCGAAAACCCTCACATTGAGGAAACGTAATTATTTCACTGTCTGTTAGATTGCTTCTATCTAAGTGGTTTTGTTGGTATTATTATAAATTTAAAATTAAGCTTCACTTACAAAGGAAGGTCACAAATGGGTTGAAAGCTTGGGCGATCAATTGCTGTACCTAATCTTTCTTTAGTTCTAGCAAATATGTAGGTATTACGATATGTTTCGGCTGCGTTAATTGTCTCAAAATATAGTCACAATATCAAATCTGGGCTTCGATTCCCAAACATATTCACAAATTGTTAGTAGTTGTAATAGGATCTAGATTTTATTACTTCAGCAATAAATTTTACCTTCTACATGGGGCTAAGAACAAAAACTACTCGTTAAATTAATTATTCTAACCAATAAATTGCTCTGTGAGTAAAATACATGATTTAAGATAACGTTAAAGGTGATGTACTGCGTAGCAAACGAAAGCTGAGTAATTGCCTTTTGTCAGTGAAACCCTGATTCAGCGAGATGGACAACCTGCAGGCCAGGAAGAAGAGGAATCCACGTGGACCGTGTGATAAAAACAATCCTCCAATAATTATAAGAAGTAACTAAAACGCCTTCTGTTTCAACGCTGATCGATATAATAATATAATATATAAAAAAAATATTCCAATTTACGAATGCCGTGTCGACACGCGAGAATCTAGCTTGACCGATTCCATTTTTTTCTTCTTATCATCGAATGGTTTCGTTAATATCGAATGAAGATTCTTATGAAGGCAAATTTTAGAAAAGTAGAGAGGAGAATTTTATGAAATTGGTTTAGATAACGTTTAGATGCTGTAGTGGTTTGTCAACAAAACAAATGACTTATGCCCGGTTTCTGAAGGCGCCGGTTATGTTTAAAATAGTTGTTGGTTCAATAAAGTTATCAATAAGATAAACGTCGGTTAGCTGTCACTGCGTTTCTGAATACGCAACGAGCCTTTCAATAACTATGTAAAGGATAGTAAGTTCCTTAATTTGCCAATAGATGGGTCTTTTAAGGATAACAACTAAATTTTGATTTTATTTATTCTATTTTAGCTTTATTAGGTAAATAATTTTTTTTCAAAGTTTTAAGCAATCAAAAACTGTTTCATTTAAAATATAATGATAATTTGTTATTTAGCATTGGCTGTATTGAACACCGTCCAGTGTCAATTAGAAAAAAAAGAAACGTCAAACAGACATTGTTGTCGGCTGCTTTGGAAAACGAAAACGATATCTTAAAGTAAACTCTTCATCAGTAAACATTTCTAAAGGATTTCTCCTTTGTCTTAAGTTTCTGGGTACAGAAATACAAGAAATAAACTCTAGTACTTCCATATCGGACTCAGATGAACTGCTTGGATTTAATATGCTCCTATTTATTGCTCTTCCCTAATTAGCAACTAAAGCAACTTTTACTTATTGAAATAATTTTGAAATTAACCACAAAAAATGTATAGTTTGACATTCGAAACGTCAAATAAAGTTATGGAACTGATAAACGGCACCAAATGGCGAGTTAAGATAGCTTCAGTTTAAACGGAGTTTATCTAACAATGCAATGCTCAGAAACGTAGTTGTAAGAGTTATCGAACCAATAGCGCTATCGAATCGATAAACTGCCGTTAACTGTACCTCAGAAACCGGGCATGAGACCGAGTTGTGTGTACATCAGTGCAAAGGAAGGGTGGCCCGCTCGTAATAAAAAAACACTAACCCCCGGTTTCCGAAAGGCCGATCAATGTTAAAATCAATTTAATCTCTTGTCAAGTCATCTGATTGGTTGACTGAATTATCAACAACCAATCAGATGACTTGACAAGAGATTTAACAGGAGATTAGTTAATTTTAGCGTTGACAAGCCTTTCAAAAACCCAGTATAAGAAAAGTGAAATACCAACGATGTTCCTTGCGTATATGATTCGTAATGTTCCTTTGAGAGTTTTACATTTTTCTCTTCTATTTTTTATGCAAACATTAAGTAACTTTCTTCGTATGAAATTATTAATGGATTGAATATTGTTCCAAATGTATTTGGCTTTATAAAAAAAATTATGGCGTCAGAATTATTTTTACGATATATTTTTGTTATACTATAATAGGTCTGTACTGATTTTTATTTTACTAACTTTATCTATAGTAGATCTTAGTATTAGAACTAGGTACATATCAAAATTACTAATATAAAGTTAATTTTATTATTTTTCTTTTATCTTTAACGCGTTTTTCTCAATACAGCAAAACCACTTAGATAGTAAATTATACTACGGATACTTATACATTATTATTATTCATATTCTTTTTGTGATATTGTAGTGACCTTTTATTGACTGAAATTAAAAAAATAATGTCGAATTTAGGCCAACTGTGACTGAAATTTTCTATATATTGGCTCCTTTCTGTTCTTCATTTCATTAAAGATCACTGCATGAATGGGGATAGTTTGTTTTCATAGATTATTAAGATAGATAATGTTACATTTTTCTTTTCTTTATACTTAAATATTTTATTATTGTTATGCATAGCAACTTTATGGGCTTGTTTCATCAGTCACCCACCTTCACCATTTCACATAATAAACTTCCATTATGTGGCATAGTTAAATATTACGTTATATTCTGTATCTGGTAATAAGTTACTGACCAGACAGATGTTGTGAAACAGGCCCCAAATCTGTAATATTTTAATATCTGTTTCTTATTTTCTTATCTTATCCCTGTATCGACTGACTGTCACTTATTTTTTATATTACATACATTCTTCATCTCATTTGTACCATATCTACTTATATGTATACTTTTTGGTAACGTTTAATTACAATAAACATACCACTAATTTAAATTGTAGACGTTTAAAATATAAGAACTCGTATATCTATTTTAAACATTTCATAGGATTAATAGTAGCGCTAATTCCAATTTAATGTTACGGTATATATTTAGGTAAAAACATATAAATAAATACTTACTATTATGTTGTCGTTATATTTATTAAAAACCAGTTATTAACTGTAGTTCAGATTTAGTGTTCTAATAAGTTAAAGTTGTACGGTGTCTATGCTATTGAAATGATTATTGTCAAATGTAGATAAGACTTAAATAAAACTGTTTTTTTATTATTATTTTTTGTTTTAATTGTACATCCCAGTATCCTAATGGATCATCGTGATTGCCTGCCAGGTGGCCGAGCTGAGCTTATATGCTGTGGTCGAGCGTTACCGCTAAGATGGGGGGAGTTTAGATTTGAAAGAAGCAGTCAGTCCATAGAGGTGCGCGCGCAGCGCTGGCCGTTGAACGCAGTCCGTTGCCGCGAACCGTTTTCAAACACGTGCGCGTAATATGATCGACAATAAAAATTAAATCACGGTCACTAATGAAATTTTCAAACAGATAACGATTTTATTTTTTTTAAAGATAACCGTGTGTTGTGGAAAACGTCTATGTGGATGCAAGGGATTCAGCAATATAAACTTAAGTAGTGGTGAGTAAAACAGGATTTCTACACTTATTAGGCACTAACTTTACGCCTAACACGTTGAAAAACATGTTCAGTATTTTGCCCTGTGGCCCTTATAATAATTTGTTCGTGTCTTTAAGTGACCACATCCGTATTTCTATAAAAAAAACTACTGGAATTTCTTCCTTTAACAAGAAATGTTTTTATTAATATTCTGAGCCCGTATTAGTTCCAGTTTCTGAGCTAGGAATTCTAAATTCAAAATAAGCGTTCCATTTACTTAGGTACTTATGGAATGGGTTAACGAACTTTTGTAATAGTGTTTTAATTACGGTTTTTTTATAGGTTCAGCTTTTTCCATGTTAACGTTAACTATAGTTGTCGCTACCTAGATAACTTTAATTTGCAAGTTAATTTCGCCCCCGATTACTTAATCAAAGTCATCTAACTTGCAGAATGTTATCACCACCATCAAATGAACACAGCACGATCTCATCAAGATTAAATTGCTTTAAGATAAGGTCCTTATTCACTGGTTTGAACCAAAAAGATGATGCGTAGGTAGATTTAGGTGCACGTGTAATTAATATATTTACATTAATACTTTACTTGTTTTATCTCAGTTTTCTGCCACACAATTCTCAAAGTTCTCAAGTTTTAAAGCTTTAGTTAGTCTACTCGTCATTTCAGCTAAAGCGGCAATCTCCAATTAGTGAACTATTAAAGTAACGTTATATTATGAGAAATGTTTATCAGTCGTACATCTCAGGCGGACTTTTACTACTGCAGATTGCAGTACCATAAAAATAAAAGAATAGGGCTTGCGCTGCTGTCATGTAGGTAGTTTATTCTTTTTCTGACGTGTGCTGTGTTATTAGTTTAAAAAAAGCAAAATCGGAATACATTGCGTTTTATGCTTTTACTCGGAGTATAACCATAAATATTTCATAGTCCATTGTACGGGAGGCTTTTTTGAAAAAAGGTTGCATAGCGTCATCGACAGAGTAAAAATATTGCGCCTTTTTCTCCGAACGGTTAGATAAGTGCTAGATCTACGATAACGATATTCGGACTGTGGTTGCACTGCATTATTTTGTTGTCTTAACGCTTCCCGGTAGGTACCATAATGTACCTAATTCTAAAACGTTGCATTCAAAAATAAAAGTTCGTCACACCTACTAGATGAGACTGTGAGACTAGCGAATTGAAAAATACTTTGGCATCGTAAACAAACTTTAGCGAAAGTTATGTAGTTATTGAGTGTTTAAGTTTTTTGCGAGATATAATATTACAAAGCTAGGCTTTTCAATTTGGTTCTGTTACGCTACACCGCTTTTTCGTGAGCATACAAATACACCATGAACGTAAGAATAGGTTAAAACCTTTTTTTTTCAATTTGGAAAGTGATAACTCGAACTTGCTTTGAAATGATGGGCGTTTAATATTAGCGTGAGTGGAATGGAGAGAGCTCCATAGATATCAGTAGGACAATTGAAATGGATCTAGTTTGTTTTGATGAGAGTTTTAAATGTTATTGTTACTTAAGATATCATCAACATCGTATAAATTTGTATAAAGACTCTGAATCGATCTAAATTTTCTACGGAAAATCGCATACAACTACCTAAATCAATGTTATCGGGAGATGATTTTCCACCCTCGAATAAACCCTCTATACATATATCCCTCAGGAGAAAGCCCTTTGCATATATCTAAGCAATATCACGAACTTGACCTTCCTCAGATCACATTCCAAGATACTTGAGAAAATCGTGTTTCTATAGGGTCTCAGTATCTAAGCGTAGATAGTTCACTGCCCAATTAAAAAAAGATACCATTAATGCACTTTACTTATAAAAGGTGTTAAACGAAAACCAGCCAATCATGAACGAGGTGATTGTACCTATCGCTAACGTAGTTAAAAACAACTAAAATGATTAACTCGGTCTCAGAGATTTATCGAGTCTTTTGTCTTTGGCGAAGATCAGGAAAAAAGTAGTTTGTTTTTTTTAAAGTAGGTTCTTGCCTTTGGTGCGCGAGATAAAGTCAATTCTAGATTTATTACGGTCTATTTTTGTGCCTATGTTATTAAACTGTTTACAAGAGTTTTTGTAATCTGTAGGTGAATGGCTTTTTAACTTTTTAAATATCTATAAAATCTTAATACATTATTAAACATTACTACTTATCCATAAATCACAATTTTATAGGTTGCTAGCTGCCTAAAAATGAAGAAAGATTTAAGAGATACCATTTCTTTCGAACGCTTTTTTGGTATTGAATGATATGATGAATGGAATCTCGCTATCCCATAAAAATCCACCATAAAATAATGCAATTTCATTTTATAGCGATCCGTTTTTTTTTAAGAAAATAAAAGCAATTTTTTTGCTTGACTCTTTGACTTGAATATATTATTGGTGCTAATTAATTATGCTTATACCTTGTAATAAATGTATCGACTGATGAAGACTGGTAGGTACTGTTGGTTAGAGGTAGCTATTAAGATTTTACTAATGCGCCCAGAAAAACGAACAGGGTCCTTAGTTATAGTTACCCGTTAGTAATAAACTGACTGCTTTTTTTGTGAGTGGAATATCTTCATATTGTTTTTCTCGCGCAAGGTAAGGCGAGAGGGAGTGCCATACTCTTTCTGACGAAACACCCCATTGTTTCTTCTCCTGCTCTAGGCTGAGGCTGCAGGACCTTACTGCGCTTGCACCGCGACCCCGACTGAATATTGCCCTGTAGGGCCTCGTCTATGGTGGTCAAATGGCTTTTTAAGGCGCGCGCGGAATGCATCGCGCCTTACCCTCGGATAAACTCTTACTGAATAAAACCCGCATTACTGAGGAGTGAAGCAATAAACATACCTCTGGATAAGAACACATCAAATGTCATATAGGAATGTGTTAAATGTTGACTGATTAAAGGAACTTGATTTGAATGTGTACTTGCAAATTAACTGTAAAATTAGCATTTTATGACGCTGTTTTTCGTAATCATTAGTATTACAATAAGAAGTGCTAAATGCAGCGAAGTCCAAGACATGTTAGCTAAGCTTTCGAGTTTATAGTTAGTGCTAAAGTAATAAGAAAATTTAAATGGTAAGCTGTACTTTTACCACTAGCTATTCGGAGATCCGTTGACGGCTTCCTGGTCGTAAAAACTTCATTAGCTTTTGTAGACCCTCGTTCGATTTATAACAGTGTTCAATAGGCTTGAAGTTATCCGTGTTAATTAAGACATCGGCTGTAATTGCTACGTAGATATGTAAGCATGTGTATTGTGATTTATATCTCCTGCAGTGGCAATTAGCTTGGCCCATGAACTTAATGATCGCAATGATAAATTGTTCCAACATACCTAGATAGACATACCGTTGATTTCGTTCATTGTGAAGTTTGACGAGATATCTAAAAAACCTTCTAAACATGTTAATAATAAAAACGACGACTAGACATTGTAGTCCTAGATATTTGTATCTATCTACTAATAAGTACCTACACTTAAAATTTTTATTCCGGTGACGATGTTGGAATTTTCGATCTCTATCAATGAAAAATTCAAAATCAACGAAACGTGCGTTCAATACTTGTACCTACTATATGTATTATCGTACTATGCTATGTATATAAGTAGAGATAAATACATCTTATCTTACCTTTGCCTTCGAAGAAAACAGGACAGATGTTATGGGAAAGTTCTGGATACGCGAATGCATAAAATCTTGCGTGCGTGCGTGAATGGGGCTCCTAATAGGCAGATTAACGATATACCAAGATCGCGGGAATTCTGCAGGGAAACGAAACGTAAAATAAGGAGAAGGATGTGTATGTGTTTATAGACAAGGACGTGTGTGGCCCGTGGAATGAGACTTTGCCATTTGCCTAAAAGTTATTGTCAAATAATTTTATCGTCACCACCTTTAATGTTTCTTACCACTCGTTCAGAGTTTAGGTAAATAATTTATAATAGATTTGGGACAACTACTTTTAGATGTTACTAATATTATAAAAGCTAAAATGTAAGTATTTATTGTTTATTACTCTTAGTCTTGTTTATCTCTTCAAAAATACCTAAGGAATGCATTTTGATGAAAATTGATACGGATATTGATTCAGATACGCACGCATATAGGTACCTATATAGGCTGATTATTAACCTGGGTAATGTGGGCGAAGCATCTGGCAGAGGCTAGTCTTTTATTTGTGAGAGGACCAAATTGAGAGGAAATAAGACTCTTATTGAATAAAACCTAGCTCCTGCTCTAGACTGAGGCCGCGGTACCCTTTTGCGCTTGCCCCGCAACCTCAGCTAAACATCCAAATATTTGTTGCTGAACCAAAAGGGCTAAAATGAAACGTTACTTAGTTATTATAAATCTATTTGGAATATTAAGTTTACGTCCCTCTTCTCAAACTTTGAAGGTTTTTCGACAAGATGTCTTATTAATCAAACTTAAAGAACCGTAGGTGTTAATCTCGTCATATCTTCGAAACATCTGTTATATCATGGTCCGCGTAATTCAGTAATTAGATACTCTCAACCAACATAACGTTTATAATACACACTAATAAGATGTTGCTCTTGGTATGCACCAATTAACGGGTTTAAGTGGTTACTTAATCCAGTTATTATTCGCTAGCTGCTATTTGTTGTTGAGATGATATTATTTTCTTCTCTATTTTTAGTATGTGACTTGATGCTTATTAGATGGTCAAGTGAATTTTGCATACTCATAAACTGTTGCTGTACCTATTTTTAGACAATATAGTTACGAATCTTACGGAAATTATGTAGTTTTAGATAACAAAACTGTTACAAAAAGCGTACCAAGTCGTTAACAAAGATCTTGCACATAACGTTCCTTGATTGAACAAACACGTAATCATCACGGATGCATTTAAATGAGGCTCGAACACTATCGGCCACGGCTAATGGTCTGCTATGCGCATGCGCATGGGCAGCGGACGGCGCTGCAGCTGATTTGAATCTCGAAGCTTTTTATCGCACGTATGTTT